TACAGCAGCCATTGATATTTTCCTACTAATCTATCCATAACTCTGTAATGTTTGTATTGTTTCTATCCTGTTTCGTAAATGGATGCATGTTTATGTGTTTCCTACAACTACCACTGAGAATAGTTAATGATTATTCAATAGGTCACTCATGTATAGCTCTATTTATCTTTAGAAGTCACTTTGAAGATACCAAAGTATAGTACAACAAGTATTGATAATCTCCTACCCCTTTTGTCTGTAACTCACTATTATTTGTCTATTTATTTTCCTGAGAAACTATCTTGTAGATAACATTATGCAAAACAATAACTGTTGATAATTTCCTACCACTTTGTCTGTAATTTGGTAAGCCCCCCCTATTATTATGTTATCCTTCTTTTACTCTTTAAAATAAAATTAAAAAAAAAAACCAAAAACAATTATACCTTTATGCAATATTAGATCATTTTCTCTGGCATATTCATTTTCTGGCCAGATTCTGGGACAGTAAACAGTCTTTTTTTTTCAGGTACTATGAGTTTAACTCAGGGCTTCCACACTAAGTTATATCCCCATCCCCTTTGTTTTTATTTTGAGACAAGGTCTCACTAAGTACCCAGACTGGGTCTGAACTTGTGATCCTCCTGCCTCAGCGACCAGAATTCTGAGATTACAGGTGTGAGCTACTACCACACTTGGCTGGCAGTCTAATACTACTGTATGTAAAACAAGTGTCGTGTGTACAGCTGTAATCCTATCTCTCTGGCAGGCTGAGGCAAGATGATCTCACATTTGAGCCCAGCCTGAGCAATGCAGTGACTCAGCAAGACCTGTCTCAAAATAAAAAGGGCTGGAAAATCAGCTAGTGTGAAGGCTCTAGGTTCAGTTCCCACTATAGATGGGAGGGGGTGGGGAAAGGAGACGAAAACTCAACCTCAGATGTGGCACTGACCTCTGGCTCTGCTACTTCCTTTTTCCAGTGCCATTCTTAGACCTTCTTCTTTAGCTCAGGCAGAAACTACTTTCTTGGGTGGCTTATTTCTAAGGAAGATCAACTACGTTTTGACATCAATAGAGTATTTCCTTTGTGTCTAATTCCCTAATAAGGTCAGCAAGTCAGGGTTAAAACTGAGAGCTGAAAACCCAGGAAAATGGACTACAAGAGATAAGCATGCTGTTTGCTTTGGAGAGCTCTCTTAACACACAGATATACACATTAGGCACTGGCTTACTTGGTGTGACTTTAAAGCAATGAGTTGGTCTTGTCTGGTCTATTGAAATGCATTAGATATGGAGAGAAGGGGGAGATGAAATGGAGAACAGAAGGGGAAACACACAGCCTTGATATGGCTGCATAAAAACCATGTTTTAGCCGGGTGTGGCAGTGCACACCTGTAATTCCAGCACTTGAGAGGCTATGACAGGAGGATCGCCAAGAGTTCGAGGCCTGCCTGGACTACATAGTGAGTGCAAGGCCAGCCTGAAGTACAAAGTGAGATCCTGTCTCAAAAAACCAACCAACCAACAAACAAAAATTAAAAAACCAAACCAAACCTGTATTTTCTTCTTTGCGAGTCCCTGAGGATTTCATCCTCTGTAAGGCTATTAATTCAGTGGTAGCCTGAGAGCCTTGGACCTCACCTTTCAATCCTCTGATATGTCCTAGGCTGGGAGAGCACACTGGAGCGGGATTTGTCTGGAAGTTGATCTCAAAGTGCTTATTAGGTAGTTCTAGATTAGCGTTTTTCTTAAATACGCAGTTGCTAACTCTATATATTAAGCATTGACAGCAGTATTAGACTTACAGTAATCTTCCCCACCCCAGCTCTGTGGCTTCACTTTTTAATGTTTATGGTTACCCAGTGTCAACTACAGTCTGGAAGTAATAAATGGAAAGTATCAGAAATAAACTTCATAAATTTTAAATTATGTGCTGTTGTGAGTAATGTGATGAAATCTCATGCTATCTCACCTGTGCTGCCTGGGTCTGGAATCATTCTTTTGTCCAGTGTATCCATGCTGTATGTGCTACTTGCCCACTAGCCACTTAGTAGCTCTCTTGGTTATTGCAGTATTATGGTATTGCAGAGTTTGTGTTCAAGTAACTGTAATCATGGCCCTCAAGCCACTGCTGGCAATTTTGTTATGCCAAAGAGAAGCTATAAAGTGCTTCCTTTATGTGAAAAGGTAGAAGTACAATAAGATATTCTGACATTCATATAACTTTTATTATAGTACAGTAAAACTTGTTTTTATTATTAAATACTGTTATAAATTTTAAATTGCACCTAGTTTACAAATTAAACTTTGTCATAGGTATGTACAAATAGGAAAAACTATAGTACCTATATGATTTGGTCCTACCTGAGGTTTCAGTATCCAGTGGTGGGGGGTGGGGTCTGAAAACTTGTAAGGGGAGACTACCTAACAACAAAATCCTTTTGGAAAAGCCATACAATTTATGTAATGCACTCAGGCTCAGTTCTTTGTTTCTAAAATCCTGTGCCTAAAATGTTAACAGCCGAAGAATGTCAAACTTATTAGTCACAGGTTTAGTTGAGGCGTACGTGAAGGGTCTCCATTACTCCAAAGATGGGGGAGGGAAACGAACATACCCTGAGTCATTTCTTTGTACTCTGTACTACTGTAGGTGTTTATCTCCAAGACCTCACTTAATTCTCACTAATCCCAAGGAAAAGGTACAATATAATGCTTTTACGTGGGTAAGAAAACTAAGTTTCAAAACCATCATGTAACTTTTTACAAGAGTCACAGTTCTATAAGTGAGGTTTATATACACGTAACCTGACTCAACAGTTCCTCTTCTTTCCACCACAGCATGTTTCTTTTAAAATTCTTTTCCTCGTCATGGAAAATACCATACATTCTACTGCCTGGCCTACTATCACCATCAGAACCTGGAACCAATTCCCTAATGAATCAGCATGAAGTAGGTGGAGCAGCAGCCCTCAAGTACGGCTGTCTGTGGAACGTAGTCACAGGCAATAAAACCCCAGCATCATCAGATTTTTGGGCTCTCTGATGAGTCACAGTTTGAGAAACAGTCAGATTTGGCCTATCTTATTTTTGTGCCAGAATAAACTCTAGAATTATGTTTCTGGAGTCTTGTTTCCAGGAAATTCAGTAACAGTTTGAACTTTTGAAACCACCTACTTTATTAACTATTCCTTTAATAAAAGGGTAGTATGGAGAGTAGAAAGCACAACCTACTAGGATGCCAGAGGCTACGTTCTACCCAATAGAATGGCAACAGTTTCATATCGGGTCTGATTTGTTGAGTTGATAAAGATTCTCAAATTAGGGTCACGTTTATGAGGAAGGAGTGCGGGGTGGTGGCGGTGTATTAATAATGTCTGCCATGGGTGCAAGGGTGCACAGTGGTGGTATGTACTGTCTTTTAGTATTTTATCCCTCCTCTCTTTACCTACTAAATAACTTTATGACTTTGGGCAAGTGATTCAATTCCTTTAAGGCCTTCACAGCCAAATAGAGAAAATGACTCATTATCTGAACGCAGAGTAATGACATTATATGATTTCATCAAGTCTTTGTCAGCTATAGGGTTTGAGATGATATTTTATTTTTACTTTTTTTTGGTTATTTGTTTTGACACAAGGTCTTCTTATGTAGCCCAAAGTAGTCTCAATCTCATGATCTTGTCCCAAGTGCTAGGATTACAGGTGGGTGTCGATCACCATTTTAAAAAGGCCAATAAAAATTTTAATACTGTTCTAAGATGAAGAGATGAAAAATATGTCAAAAAATTGTACTATCTGAACAATGAGGAAATCTGTTAAATGGCTATCTTAAGTACAGCTTATGATGGGCCAGAAAGATTATTTAGAAAAACATAGGAATGTAGGGAAATATTCTAAATATCTGTGCAGATGTTGAATGTTGAAGAAATAACATCATGTGAATATGATTTACTAAACCTCACCCTAGCCTTGCCTTGAGAACCGCAACGTCTTCTCTGTGGGAAATGTTCAATAAAGAACACTTCTCATTACTTTGAATACCCATGCTCCATGCTATAAGGACAAAATAGGCTCAGAATCATTCATTACAGATCTGTATCTTACCTGGGATCACAGAGAAATTTGGTTTTCTCTCCTTCTTCTCTCCAGATAAGCCATTCTCGAAAAGAAGGATGTACAAACATACGAGTCATGTCTCTGCGCTTGATTAGGAACATGGAGAGGTTCTCCATTCTCTGCTGAAAATCTTCCCATTCTAGTGTGCCTTCAATGCTACCGGCATTGATGGCCTGAAAGATATGCTCATCAGTCAGTGGGTGGAGGGAGGCCACTGCCACGTTCAGGAGAGGCATCACCCGGTCAAAGGAAGACTGGGTTGGGAACTTCATATTGCACTGGAGTAAATAAACCTCTGAGAGTGAAACGGGAACTACTTTGTAGCTAGAGCTCTTTAACACTAGATAGCCTTTCTCTATGAGGTCAAATGTGAGTTTCAGGTATAGGTAAGACCCTTGACTGAGAGTCTTGAGATGAGAACTGAGCTTGCCAAATGTAGTATTGTCCATTTTGCCATTAAGTGAAATGTTATTCTGGATCTCTGAGCTGCTGTGTATCCGGTGCAGGATGTAAGCCTGCAGGTCCTGGTCTATGGCTTCATTCTCTTCTAGTCGATCCAAAAAAATTCTATGGAAAGGCAGCAACTTGGTAATTTCCTAAAACAGATGGAGAGAGAGAGAGACAGAAAGACCTTCAGTTTCCCCTAACTCTTGTGATAAACTATGACATCCACAAATTTACTCTGAACTTCTTAGTGGTCAGAGAAAAGAGGAAAACATGATTAAGTATTAGTATCCACAGATTAAAACAAATTAGCTGCAGAGGAGGGATATAAAACAATTTCCTATATTGAGATGTAAGAAAAATTTTCATGGGTCTTTGTAAAGAGACTGTAGGAATCATTTCATGGTCAGTATTCTCAACAATCTTCCTACTTTGGAGTTGAAATGGAAAATGGAGTGCTGTACAACTCTGGTTTTGTAATTTTTTTTCTGTATAAACCATGGCATAAAGTCAGTTCAGTTAGAGAAAGGTGTAAGGATTCAAAGAATATCGTGTAACTGTGTACCTTTTAATAAAAAAGAAAAGAACCCAAAATAATGTGGTTTTTGAACCTTCCCCATAAAATGACTACATTTAATATAGGCCCGCTGGAGATTCCTGAGTTCAGAGGAGCACTTCTAATGCTTGGTATTCTGGTGATCAGCTTGGAAATGACGTTGGGGAAGGTGGCTTAGTGACGACTCTCATGTACTGGATTCCATCCTTCTTATGTCTGTATAGACTTTGTTCTTGCAAGCACCCATTCTCCCTTTTATATCTATTTCTTCTCAACTGAGTCACAGAGATACATACTTTGTATACCTCCTCCCATCTACTCTCATTTTCAGGAAAACTTACAGAGAAGTTTTCTCTATCTGCTATCTTGAACCCCTCTCATCCGATTCTCTTATTTGTTCCAATCAGGGCCCAACCTGGAACTGTTCTGTCACTGGAACTGTTCTGTCAAGGTTATCAGTAACCCTGACTTCGCCATCAGTTAATTGCCTTTCCGTTAACAAACCCCTCATTCTCTCAGCAGTGTCTGACACAGCTGATCCCACCTTTCTGTACCTTTTGAGTTTTCTGCAGTTTGCATCCATAGCATGCTCATCTCCTTTTTCTTGGGGCATGCTAGGCAATCTTATCCAGCTTCTCCTACTGTCTTCTATTTCCATTTTTCAGTCCTTCCCCCCATGTGTCTCTCTTCCCTAGCTATACTCATATCCTAGAACAGAGTATTTTTTCTAAATATCATCAATATGTGGACGATGTCTAACTTTATGTTTCCAGGTTAGTTATCTTCCCAGAGTTCCCATTTTATATCTCTGTATACTCAACAGTTACATTTTGATGTTTCACAGATAAATTTAATGTGACTAAATCAGAACTACTCAATTCTGTCTCCGCCATAAAACCTTTTTCATATCAGTAAATGGCATTACCATTGGTACTACCACCAAACTCCTGGAGGTATCTGTAATTTTCCTTTTTTCCCCAAACCACCATTCCATTCATTTGCTCACCTGAACCTCAGAATCCATTCTCGAATCCTCTCTGTTGTTCTTAACCAAAATCTAACCATCAAGTTCTGACACTCCTTCAAAATGTATGGCAAATGTCACACGTCACATGATCTCCGTCATTACCACTCTCGTATAAGTCAGTCAGTCACCACCGTCTTTCACCTATGTTTTTGCTTGATTTTTTTTTTTTTTTTAGTGGCACTGGAGATTAAGCCCAGAGATTTGGCTATGCTAAGCAAGTGATGTACCACTGAGCCACATCCCCATCCCTCTACTTACAGCCTTGATCCCCTACATTTAACTATTTACACAGCCGGCAGATGAGGAGACTGTTTAGAAGGTACCTCACTTCCGTCACTTTATAAGGCACTTCGGGCAGGCCTTTCCTATCTGCCCTATCTGCAACGACTATCTCCATTTAGCCCTTTCAGTCATTTTATTTTTTGTCATAACTTTTAACACTACCTGCAATTTTAGTATATATTTAATTTTACTTATTTTTTTGTGTTCCAAACTGGAAGATAAGCTTTGTGAAGGCAGGGATATTGTGTGTCTTATTAACTGTTGAATCTTCAACCTCTACAACAGTACCTGATACAATCCAAGTACTTAAGAAATGTTAGCAGAAATAATGACTAATTAACTATGAGATCAATTTTTAAAACCTATGAATTATTTCAGAATGTCAATCCTGAAAGAAATTATTTTTTCCCTGTACTGGAGATTAAACATAGCACATCACTCATGTTAGGCAAATATTTTACCACTGAGCTGTATCTCCAGCCCAAGATAATAATTTTAAAAAATTCTTAGTTGAAGGACTGGGGATGTAGCTTAGTGGTAGAATACTTGCTAGAATACAAGAATTACTAGAATACAAGAAATGATACTTGCCTAACATGTGTGAGGCTTGGGGCCAATCTATATGTGAAGACAATAAAATACACGCTTTGTAGATTAATATGTGTAGTATTTTTCTTCTGTGGAACAGATAAAAAATTAAAGTTATCTGTTCTACCCAGATATACTTAAAATTTCTTCTGCAACTGCAGATGGCATTATGCAAAAGTATATGTAGGGACAACAGTGCCTAAGTATACATTTGGTAAAGTGTACATTAGGTATCTTTAAGTATACACTAAGTATCTTTCATCTTTAACAATCAAACTGTTGGACAATGAGTTGTCAAGATGTAGTTATGTTGATTCATACACATTTCTTAACTCAAATTACTTTGAGATTAATGATAAACACAAGTAAGGAGATGGTCGGATTAAAAATACAGTTTCTGATCATGGAAGGTAGTACAAATAACTGGCATTATATAGGAATAGCAAGAGCCTGGGATAAGGGAAAAGGGGAACTTGATGCAAGGTTCTTTTTTATGTATTAACAATTATCACAGGGAGTTGTGTCAAAATAGTGGGATAGGGGAATAATATGTATTTTAATATTCATCAAAAGAGATTTTTTTGGGTAATATTAGGGATTGACCCAGGGCATCACGCACAGTAGGCCAGTATTCTAGCACTGAGTTACATCACCAGCCTTTTTTATTTTTTGAGACAGGGTCTCTCTAAGTTGCCCAGGCTATCCTGAAGCTTGTGCTCCTCATCTCTCAGCCTCCCAAGTAGCTGGGATTACAGGCGTGTGCCACGTAGTGGGGGGCCCCCTCCCCCACACTATGTGTGAGTATGTAAAGAATACCAACTTGACTACAATAGCAAGGGTGGGAAAGGTGGAGTCATTTATCCTTAGAGCCCATATATTTTTACAGGATTTAGTTCCAGTTCCTGGTCCTTTACCTAGGCCAGCAATGGTGAACCTTTTAGAAATTTCAATGATGCCACAGCCTCACCACCACTAACTAGGTCATTAAGTGACGAGTCATAAGCAAGGAAGATAATAAAACGATTTTTAAAAAACTTATCTCCCAGTTGCAATAAATGTAATCTAAAGCCCTAGCACTGTCAATATTTGTTAGAAGATAGCAGAACATCCACTTTTATGCTACAGAAAAGTTGTTCAAGTAGAAGCAGAGGGAAGAACCAAAAAAAAAAATCTGCCTTGAGATGGCAGGTTGAACTGGATTTTGCACAGCATTAAACAATTTAGAAGTGAAACAAAAGACAAAGCTCTAATGATTTTCTTTGTATTGCTGTCCTCAGGACAAATCTAGGAAACAGGGACATTTTACCAAGCCTTATCCAGAGGACTGGGAATGGGAATTAAAGTTATAATATAGAAAGATCATATCTCTTACCCTCTTTGGGAACTATTCTTGGTAGTGCTCTAGGATATAGTAGAGGTTTACAAAGCATCTTTGCTAAGGGAACTAGAGTCTAGAAGTTTTTCAGTTTAAGCCCTTTCCAAGGGAAATAATAGTTCAAAAACAAACAAACACATACCTGTAAACTGGTCCTAACTGTTACAATTAGTTTGAGCCAAGAAGGAAATTTTCCAATCATTTTACTCAGAAATGACACAATTGTATCCCCATAATCCGGTTTGTGAAATTCTGCTTCATTTAATCCATCAATTAAAATGATGAAATCTTCATCTGGGATTTTTCTCTCTGAGATAGAAAGAAACAAATTACTTAGTAATTACCAAGTACATAAGTGAGCTCTTACTGGGTCTTTGATCATATATCTGTCTAGAAAAAAATATTAGAAAAGCCCTCTCATGACACCTGCAGTGCTCGGGGTAAATAAGTTTATAAAGACAAGAAATAATTCATTTAGTGAATTCAATAGTGTTGCTTTTGTGTGGTGTAAAAGCTTTTGTTACATATATGTGAGTATATGAATCATAATTTTCAGGAATAGCTGTATTATCAGTTGGGAGACAATCTGAGCAACGGACTTGTAAGAATTTGCACATGAAGTTCATTTTTCTCTCACACATGAAAAAGCTAAAAAGAGTATGTTTAGTTTTTTCCCCCTACCTGACAGCATTAGAGAGAATACTGTCATATGTTATTTTGGGAATTTCCCAAAAAAGGTTTAACTTAAAGTCCAAAGCAGTATAGAAGACTACATGTGACTATGTACTGGGAAGGAACAGATGAGCAGAAGTGAAATCGTAACTAATAGACAGACCTGAACCAGACAGGTTATGTTGGAAGGTCTTTGTAGTGTCCTAGGCTACACCCAAAGCAACCTCAATTAGCCAGTGCGATCTTCCAGGGAAGAAGTCATGTGGGAAAAAAACAAATCTTCTGTTTGTATCCAGCACCCTTCTAGATTGCACTAGATCCTCGATTGGCAACATCAGTTTATTTCTGGGGCTTGGCCAAAGAAGGAGCTTAGTGTGACTTTAGGCTTCTATACTCATTAAATGCTTTTCAATTCTCAAACAACACTGAGCAATTAGAATTTTTAAAATTCCCAGATCGAATGTACATTTTAGTATAAATCAACTGTGAGTGGCAAATAAAAGTTACCAGCTGGTAGAACTGTACAGGTTTTGAAGGGACAAAAGCAAGAAGTCATTAAGTATCTGATCTAGAAATAAGTTTTATCTATGGTGGAAAATGAAAATGAAGCTGGGTTCAGAATAAAGTCTATAGACTTCTAAATAAGATAGGCTCTTTTTGTTTTTATAAGAATCAAAATCAAATTTTACATGCTATTTTTGTTTTACATTTGAATTTACACAGGAACATTTATATTTTTTTCTCTAAAGCAAAGCTTTGTAGAAAGGAATTTAACTCTAATACTCTAAATGAACTATGGATTCCCCCTCTATTAACAATGATTATTAATGAAGTGGCATTTTGGTAATGTAGGGTTATGAAGAAATACTCAGGGAATCCAAAGAATTAAGAAAAAGAGAGGACTTGTTTGGAACTAATTGGGATTTACCCAAACAACTGGGGAGCTATTATGTTCTTAATTTTAAGGACTCTGGCTTCCTTAAGCTTAACTCTATCTTGAAGTCTCAGAACAGAATTTTTTACTTGTGTTGGCTTGGCTGAGCACCACCACCTACTCCTGCCCAGGGATACGCAGGAGCCGTCCCGTGTATGGTTCAGGAGCGCCCACTGCAACATTTGTAAGAGCTGGCTCTTAAAACAGTTGGTAGCTTGAAAGTGGCTACGGTGAGAATTTCTATACAATGGAAATTGGCAAACGTTAAAATCAGCCTTCCTGCCTTGGATGGCTGTGAAAAATTTACCAGCACACGACAGACTGCCTACCTTCAACTGTATACCTCCTTTTAACTTCACATAGGATCCTTCCTAAGAAAGACATGATCTTCAAGTCAAGAAAAAGGCTGGTCATAATGTATCCATAAAGCTTTTTTTTTTAAAGAGAAAAAACAGCACAAATACATTCTTTGTGGTGGTGCATGCCTATAATCCTAGCATTTGACAAGCAGAGAAAGGACTGCCTAGAAACAGGCCATCCTGGGCTACAAAATGAGGTCAAGACCAAGCATAAACTACATGGTGAGTAGTGTGACCCTGTCTCAAAAAGAAAAAGGAAAAGGAAAAGAAAAAGAAATGTGCTCTGAAGTATGACCTAGATATTTTAATAAATGATAATTCATTTGCCAATAAAATTAATCCTTCATTTGCACAAATTCCCAGTAGAGTATATTATTCATCCCAGGAGTAAAAAAAGAGAGTATGTCATTTTATTTTTTTAAGAGAAATATTTTTTCCTTCTAATCAAGATCAAGATATTCTTCTAAATTCTGGCTTTTTTTTTTTTTAAATGACGCTCCTTCTCCTTTCAAGGGATTATCCGTCACCTATGAACATAGGTATATATAAATACCAACAAACATTTCATCAGTTAAGTAGCAGAAAGGCATGTTTATCTAGGTAGGGATATCATATTTTTTAAGACTCAGAACAATGAATGAAAAGAATTTCCTAATGTAGTAATGTAAAACATGAAAATGAATCCTAAAATAATTCCTTTTCTTTTGGTAAATGAAGGTTCTCGATTATAAACTTAACAGATGTGACTTTAATTATCTTCAGACTTTGTCTTTCAAATGCAAACAGCCTTCGGAAAATGCTTCTGCATATTGACCTTCAGTATGTCTGTAGATTTCATTCATTCATTCATTCACTCATTCATTCATTTTTGATTGTCTGAGACAGGGTCTTGCTATGTTTCAGGCTGGCAATGAACTCACCATGTAGCCCTAGCTGGCCTTGAATTCACAGCAATCCTCCTGCCTCAGATTCCCAAGTGCTGGGATTACAAGCATGCACCACTGTACCTGGCAGTAGACTTTTAAGAAATATACTAATTCAGGAACTTTTATAAGATTTTACTAATGAAAATTTAAAAAAATTAGGGACTAACAAAGGACTGCTACTTCATATTTTGCTAAGTAAGGACATTTAAAATACAACTACCATCCAGGATCATATTTATTTCATAGAATAAAAATATTTTAACAGTACATGTTAAAGACATTAAACTTTGCATACACATACAGTTTATGTAAAACTATATTATATCTTTCTTTTTTTCCTTTGGTGCCAGAAATCGAACCCAGGGCCTCACACTTGCCAGGCAGGTGCTGTACCACTGAGCTACAGCTCCAGCCCAAAACTATATCTACATCCACATAAATTCTAGGCAGTCCCCACTTTAAAATTTTTGTCATGGATTAACTGGAAACTTTAAACGGGCTGATTCTTAAGTGCTATTGCTCTGACATGTCACTGCAAGGGTTTCCAAAGCCCTTGAACTTCTGTTTTTAATCTCTTAAAAAATGCATTCACCACTTACATATATACTTAGCAAATATCTGAACTGTCTGCTTTAATAGTCCAATCTTTAGACGTCACCTAGGTGCCTAAGAGAAATAATAAACAGAGACTGCCGGAGAAGTGAGATAGCTAGTAGTGAGGTTAGAACTGAACCCTAGCGCATGAGATCCTTCGTGTGTACTGCACAGAAATAATTAAACATGAAAAGACTCGGGTAACATTTTTATCAGAAAAGCTTTGCATTGCATCTAAATTATCTTTTAGCTGTAAAAACAAATAACTATTTCCTGTCTGTGGCCGAAGCAAACAGCCGACTGAGAAACTTCAAAAGCATTTCATTTGTTTTCTGTCTGCATATGGGCCTGTATGTTTTAATCACTGTAACTTGTGAAAAGCACTATGCGAAATACTGGCTCTAATAATTTAAAGAAAAATACATATACAATTTGAAATCTAGCTCCTGACTCTACATTGAATGTGTTTTACATGGAACCTTCCTGGAAAGAAAACTCTAGCTAACAATAACAAATTATGTACTTTAAAAATTATTGCAATAAAATTTATATACAGTGAATTGAGAATACCTAATTATGTAATTTAGAGGTTGCATAAGTATAGGTTCTCATGTAACCAACACCTTGATCAAAATGTACAGCATTTCCATCACCCCAAATGTAATGTTTCTGAGACTCATTTACACTGTTGGAAGTATTATTAGTCTTTCCTTTTTATTCCTAGCAAGTATTCCATTGAACCAAGATGCAATTTGTTTATGCATTTTATTAATGGACATCTGGGTTGTTTCCAGTTTTTGACTACTATGAATAAAACTGCCGGAAACATTTCTTTTGTTTGTTTTTGAGACAGGGTCTTGCTAGGTAGTAGAGACGTACTTGTGCAAGTCTTTTTGCAGACATCTTAATTTCCCTTCAGTAAATACTTAGGAACAGAATTGCTTGGTCATAAAGTAGATGCATATGTAATTTTACAAGAAACTGCCAAATAGAGTCCCAAAGTAGTTGAACCATTTTACCGTCCCAACAACACATGAGAGTTCTAGTAATTTTTCATTCTCACCAATGTTTGATGCTCATTCTTTTTAATTTTAACCATTCCAGTGGGTGTGAAGTGGTAAATCATAATTTTTGTTTTGCTTTTTGTCTTTTTGAGACAGGGTCTTGCTATGCAATTCAGGCTGGCCTTGAGCTCACTTTGTAGCTCAGGTTGGTCTTGAACTTGGAACAATCCTCCTGCCTCAGCCTCCCCAGTGCTTAGATTACAGGTGTGTTCTACCATGCCCAGCTGTAAATCATAATATTAAATTACATTTCCCTGGTAATTAATGACATTAAGCACATTTTCATGTTCTTGTGGGTATTAACGTATGTTCTTCTGTGACATGTTTAAATATCCTATCCATTTCAAAATTGGATTGTTGGATGGGCATGGTGGCACATGCCTGTATCACAGCTGTTCAAGAGGCTGAGGCAAGAGAATCTCAAGTTCAAGGCCAGGCTGAGCAACTTAGTAAGCCTCTGTCTCAAAATAAAATAAAAAAGGGCCTAGGGCTATAGTTCAGTGAAAGTGTGTGTGCTTTTTACGCACAAGGCCCTGGGTTTGGTGCCCAGCACCACAAAACAAAAAAATAAAATAAATGCAAAAAAGAGTGTATTGTTTATCTTTCATGATTGACATGTACATGTATTCTTCAGGTACTGTGGATACAAGTGCTTTTTGTTCACTCTCTCACACTCACGTACACACACAAAGATGAATATTTTCCCCATTTTCGTGACTTGCTTTTCCTTTTTTTTTAGTGTTAGCTTTTGCTGAGAAGA